AAACTAATAACATCAGAATCAAAGTAGAAATTAATACTTTGTGAATATTAGACTAAAAACAAAAGCAAGCCTTCATACGTTCTGTATAAACCAGAAAACCATATCCATATTGCTTACTCACGGGAAGTGTCAAATTTGCTGTTCAAAGGTCTGCACAAGAGCCCTCATCCACTTGATGAAATGCACTAAGCACTCATACTTACCGGGATATGCCTCAGTTTGTATGTGTGGAGATCAGGATTTAGCCAATTTCACAAGTTTCAAGTTTAGTTTTGAAAAGTACACAAGGTAAGGTTCTTAGTAAGGCTTAGTCATTTAAGCTATAAATATACCTTTCATGATATTTAAAACTAGGGAAACCTTAAACACAAAATGGCCATGGAGAGGACAAATGGTAAGAACTTAACCGACTCATTTAAACCCAAGTTTTCACCATCAATCGTGTTGCATCTTACATGACTTTGTCAAATGATGTCGCTGCTTTAATATTATATTTATTCACTGCATGATCAGTATCTTACCGTGCAATCTCACATTTGCTGACGTCCACACCTCTCTTGGGCATGAAGCCCATCCCTCTCTGAGGCTCTTTGCTGCTGAAGGTGCTGAGGTAGTGGACGTAAGGTGGCTCATCTGTGATCTCAAAGTATCGGATACTGCTGTCCCCCTACATCCACACAAACGCAGAAAAACACATAAACATGTCAGAGGCTAATGTGGCATTGTCATTATTAATCTGAAAACACAGTACATTTAAAAACATGATTTCAGTCAGTCAATCATAATATGTGTACCTTTCCACAAAGGTAAACCATGTTTGCATCTGCATCATAATATGGTAACAATACTCCATTACTTGTGTCCAACTCCAACACTGCGATAGGCTCCTCGAAGTTTGTCTGTGGAGTGGAGAAAGTCATAAAGAACTCCTTCAATCTGAGTAATTCAGCAATAAAAAAGCATGTATTAGTCATGAATGAACACAGCATGTGTATATGTGAGTTAGTTTGTTACCGGGTCCCAGAGTCCAAGCTCCCTCTGGCTCATTCTGGTGAATCCAGTGGTGAAGATATTTCCGTCTCTGGTGAAGATGGCTCTCATTGGCCGGATCCCTTCATGTGGAGCAAGACGTTCCTGTTGGGCAGCATGGGAAAGCAATCAATACGAGAACTTGTTCTATCTTTTTCATTGTTTTTTCCCTTGGTTGGTGTTGAGGGATCATTATACCTCTGCTGAATGTATAGACTTATTTCTTTCGTTTTGTCACACACTTTGTACTCTGGACAAAGTGTTGGGCTACCTCTTATCTCTTTCCTGGTCCTGACTTGTACATGTGTAAGCAGTAGAAGTTCTCAGATCAATATTTTTCGACTGACTCACCGCAACCACCTCCCTTTTGCGGGGGTCGCAGACACGCAGGCGTCGGTCCTTGCAGGTGGTGCAGAACAAGCTGCCGTTTCGGTTCCAGCTGATGCTGTAGATGAGGTCTGG